CATTGATCTCCGTTCATTGATCCCCCCCCATCGATCACTCCCCATTCATCCCCCGCACGTGTCCGTGTCCCCCCGCTCCGAGCATCGGCCCAGGGGCCGGGCCGGCGGATTTGGGGCTCCCGACCCCGGCCGAGCTGTGCGGACAAAGCCCCCACACCATAAAGGGCCGTAAACCAGGGGCAGCCGGGCTGGGATCAGCAGCGCCCGCCCGCGGCCTTTGGATCCCGCCCTGCTGACAAAGGCAGGCCGCGGCCGCACAAACCAGCCCTGCTCAGCAATTTTTCCTGCGCGGAGCCCACCTTTGAAATTTGGAGCTTGGAGAACGCCCGGCGATTGCTCCCACACAGAAAATGCTGCTGGTGTTTACCTGCCCCGGGGCAGCCCATCAGCTGCACCACCAGCACCTTTCCTTGCCAAGGAAGGGTTCTGTCACCTTCTCTCAGGAGAAAGAGCCGAATTGGGCTGATGGCCGCAGAGAAAAGCAAAAAAACACAACCAAACAAACAAAAAACTCAAAAAAGCAAGTTTTGGGAAGATCAAGTCTGCCCACACAAGGTCTTGTGCTAAAAATGAGCAAGTGCTGTTCTGGACAGGCAGCCACCACAGGTGCTTAATCAGGGATCAAAGCCACCCCAAGGAACAAATACAAATTGCAGAAATTCTGAATCACCCCATTTTGCTTTATCTCTGAACGTTTCAGCTCCACCAGCTGTAACTTAAAATCATTTTGTGAGGAATTGGATGAAGCAAATGCACTTAGAGCAGGTTAGAGTGTCCTTTCTACATGTTAAAATTAAAGCAAGGTGTAGAGTTTTACAAATTTGGCGTAAAAAAAAAAAGCTTACCTCCAGGTAAGCTCTGCCTACACTCAGAATTGAACCAAAACCTGTAAATCCAACACGAAATTCCCAGCACAGCCAGGAAAGGGACACTCTGCAGGGTGAAGGTCCAGATAAACAGCAAGGCCAGGGCAAAGGATAAAGAGCATCCAGCCCTGGCTCTGCTCTTTGGACACAGGCAGGACACAGCTCCCCCTGTCCACGCCAAAAACCACAACAAAAACAAGGTCAAAGCCCCTGGAATTGTGCAGGGACACCAAGCAGACTAAGCAGAACTGTTTTCAAAGGGTGCATTTCCATGGCAGCCAGTCAGGGGTTCGGATTTATTTTGGTGGGAGGAAGGCTGGTAACACGTGGGGAGCTGTTTTCTGACCCCTGGGAACTGCCTGGAGCTTTCCAGAACCAGCTCAAGAGCTTTTCCCTGCTCTCAGAGGGAATGAGCACTCAAGGCCACCTTTGATTCGTGTCGTTTATTATTGGCAACGCCCAGAACTGTTAACTGCAAAGCCCATCTCGGCATCGGTTTGATTGCTCCTTTGAAAAGTGATTCATAAATGTCCTGTCTTTTTTTTTTTTTTTAAATAAATAATGAAAAAAAAAAGACTGTTGGCAGCTGCCAGAGCCTGGTGGAAGAGCTCCACCCGGTGGCATCCCACGAAGGCACAGCTGGAGCCTCAGAGCTCTTGGAAATCTCAGCTTCCTCAATTTTTCCTCGAATGAGCAAGGCAGACTAGAAGGAAGCTTCACTCTGCTTCCAGTTGCTGTTTCCTTCCCCTCTTGCCTCTGTCACAAACAAAACTTTTCACTCCTCTTTTTGCTCTGTGCTCAAACCCCCAAAATATCTGACAGAGACACTCCCAGGACCGTGACCCTGTCCTGGAGGATGAACTCATCAGGATTTGTCCCTTAGGAGTTTTGTGGGACAGAACCACGGCAGTTTTCCCACCTAACACTGACTTTGTGCTCTTTTCTTCCAGAAAACACTGGAAGGTTGCATTTATCTTTTGGGACAGAGGAAGGAAGGATGGAAGGCACATTTTTTCCCCCCACTCAGTTTTACCAACTGCACGTTGATTTTCAGAGGATTCTCCTGAAAGGTTTCTCTGATGGAGAGAGACAAAAACTGTCAACTGCAAACAGTCCCCTCTGCAACAGACACCTTGATTCCAGTCCCAATTACAATCCACACAGAGGATGTGTGGAATTACAATCAGTAACACCCAGGACAATTAAAATACACCCTGCCCCACTAAAGGCACTTTTACCACGTGGAATTTGGCTCCCGAAGCTCGATTATTTACACAGCTTCAGAAATTTCCTCCTCGGGATGCCTGGTAGATTCCAATCAGGGAGGAGATGGTCCCCAGGAGCCCCACTAACCACGGGGGGAACCTTCCAGCCCAGAGGAATCCTGGAGGCAGCCAGTGGATGGCGTTGCAAAGATCTGCTGCGTCCGTGAGGATGCTCAGAACCTCCGCCTTCACCTGGGCTCTCAACTTCTGGCTCTGGGGTGAGGATGTGCTGCTGGGAGCAAAAGGGGATATCAGTGACAGTCCAGAATATCCCAGTAACTGTGATGGATACAAGTGAGAACTGGTGTATGGGGTTAGATTATAATGAAAACGGGTTAAAATGGTGCTAAAGAGACCTGGAGAGGGACTTTGGACAAGAGATGGAGGGACAGGACACAGGGAATGGCTTCCCACTGCCAGAGGGCAGGGAGAGATGGGACATTGGGAAGAAATTCTTCCCTGGGAGGGTGGGCAGGCCCTGGCACAGGTTGCCCAGAGCAGCTGTGGCTGCCCCTGTATCCCTGTAAGTGTCCAAGGCCAGGTTGGACGGGGCTTGCAGCAAGCTGGGCTGGTGGAAGGTGTCCCTGCCCATGGCAGGGGGTGGCACTGGATGGGCTTTAAGGTCCCTCCCAACCTCATTCTGGGATTCCATGATCAGCTGTACAGCCAAGGAATGAAATCATACCCCTTGTGCTGCCTCAGTTTTCTCCTCAAGTGGCACAAGACCCTCAGGGACCTGAAAACAGCAGAGTTATTTCTCCTACAGCAGCAAACAGGAGTTTTGTTTTTTTTTTTTCCCAGAACACCTCCCGCAGCCAGAGGGCCCTTTTGTTTTATCCCCACGCATCATTCCCCGCCCCTTCCCTCTCCTTCCCAGCGGGCCGTACCGTAGGATTCCCAGGAGCAGGGCAGAGCCCCAGAGCGCTGTGCTCAGGGTCCACCACCTGTGGGAGCTGGCGCGGACGATCCCAACATCGGCTGCCCAGGCCAGGTGCTCGCAGGGGTAGTAGAGCTGGTTGGCCACGTTGCAGAGCACGCTGAGCCCCCGCACCAGCACATCCTCGTCCTGCGAGAGGGGGGGAAAGGGCACAAGCCAGAACAGCCGCGGGGCGGCCGGGGAGGCTGGGGGGGAGCCCCCTGCCCCGCTCTCACCTCGGGGCCCAGCCCGTAACCGCAGCTGTGCCGGAGCATGGCCAGGTCGTCAAAGAGGCGCAGGACGGTGCGGCAGGAGCTGAGCTGGGCAGAGGCGGCCAGGAGGCCCCTCGGCAGCCCCCCCGGGCCGGGCAGGGCTCCCCCGGCCAGCTGGAGGCCGTAGGACAGGGCACGGACCTGCGGGGACACGGCCCGGTCAGCGGGGGAACCGGTGGGTGTGGAGCCCAGAGGAGCTGATGCTGGAATTCTCTTTAATTCTCCCTTTTCCTCTCTTATATCCTCTCTTTAATTCTCTCCTTTTCTCCTCTCTCTTTTTCTCTCTTTTTATCTTTCTTTCTCTCTCTCTTTCTTCCTTTAATTCTCTATCCCCCTCTCTTCCTTTAATTCCTTTTCTCTCTTTTCTCCTTAATCCTCTCTTTTCTCTTTCTTTAATTCTCTCCTTTTTAAAAAAAATTTTCTCTCTTTTCCTCTTTCCCATCCTTTCTCCCTTTCTTTCCTCAATTCCCCCTCTCCCTCCTGAATTCCTCCCGTCCCTTTCCCTCCACCTCTTTCCCCAAA